CAGGGTCAGATGACACAGGCGTGGTATGCAGGGGTTGCAGGAGGAGCAGGAGGCCCAAGGAGCTAGAAGGGTGACCTCATCCCAGGGCTTTGTGTTTTAAGTGAGGAAACTGAGGCCCAGAAGGGGCCACGGGTATAGCTGAGGTCTGTGTTCAGGGGTCATAAAGTCCCAGGGTAGCTGGAGTCTGGGCCTGTGGCTCCCAGCTGCAGACAGCAAAGCCAGCCAGAACTGGAGGCTTAGGGCTAGCAGGCCATGCATGGTATAGCTGGGTCAGGGCAGTGTGTGTCCCTGCAGTGGGTCTGTGTCCTCAGTTTCTTCATCTGTGAAATGTGGTAAAGAGCCTGTGGCCCTGCCAGCCCATTTGAGGGGACTCAGTGTCCTTGAGGAGATCCTGTCTGGGAGGAGCTTTGGAGCAGGCAGAGTGGCTGGGGGAGGTGTTTGTCACACTCCCTCCTCTGGGAAGCCTTCTGATGGCCCCACTCCCCATCAGCACTTGGTGTCACCCAGCTCTGCCACGAGGCAATTGAGAGCCCAGGACTTAGCTCTGGGGAATTAGAAGGACTTGGGGGCAAGAGGAGGGCCCTGGGCCATGTGGTTTGTCCTGTCCTGGGGTGCAGTGTGGAGGAATGAACTCATGGCAGACAGCCCCAGGGGAATAGAGGCAGAGGAGGGTGCGGTGCTGGCATAGACTTGTGGGTGGTGGGCTAGGCCTGGTCATGAATGAGATGTGATTTTCCCAGGGTGCTAGGCTGGAGCCCAGGAGGGTCAGGGTCTGCTTGGGGCCAAACAGTCCTGTTGAAATGGGGTGTATACCACGAGTGGGGGCTGGGGAGGGTGGGAGTGCTTAGGAGGAGCCCCCTCCTCCTCCCCTTCCCCAGCCCCTTCCTTTCCTCACATCCTCCCTTCCCCTGCCTCCGGCTCCTGCCCCTGGGCCCACCCCTCCAGGCCAGATGGTCCTGGCCAGCTTTCTGAGACTCCTACGGGGGCGTCAGGGATGTGGGATGGCCTTGACCCTGGAGCCAGGCAGGTATAGGTGGGGAGCTCAGCCCCTCCTCTAGGTTGACAGTGGGGGACTGAGGTTGGTTCCATCAGGATTCCCAAGTGAACTGGGTACATAGACCAGAGGGCGCTTAGGTATGAGCAGTGTCTGATGTCTTCATTTCTCTATGTGCCATGTGGACTCACCCCTGCCTCCTGGCCCTCACCGAGGGTATGAGTGCAGGTGCAGGGAACCCTAGCACGCATAGACCCCCAGGAGGCACAGCTTTGCTAGGACATGAGAGTCAGCTCATGTGGAGGGAACCCCGCCATACACAGGTTCCCAGGAGGTGCCCTTGAACACAGGGAAGGATGAGGCCAGAGTCTAGAACTTGCCACAGCCAGGCCCCAGGCATCCAGTTCAGACAGGCCCCAGCCCCGCCTTGGTGTCCAGGCCTCCAGGAAGTAGGGTGGGCGCCCAAGGTGACATTTCCTGCTATTAATGGCGTTTAACCTAAACAAACCCTAATATTTACCACCAGAAGCCTCCGGCCTCAGCGGTGCCAGACAGGGAGAGTGATGAGAGCATCCAGCCACCCCACCCGGTGCTTCTCTAGCAGAGGCCAGAGCTGGCTGTGTGTGGGACTAGAACTAGATACTGCGAGGCCTGAGTGGAGCCCTCTAGGGCCAACCCTGAGTCCTGTGCTTCCATCTGTAAAGTGGTGATGACCTTGATGACTCACAGGCACTTAGGAGGCCCACATGGGGGCTGCTCCTCCTCCTGCCTCAAGACTAGACCTCTTAGGGATCTGGTAGGTCAACATGAGGACTGGATGCCTCCTCCACCTCTGAGTCCCTTCCTTTGGATGGCCAACTTGGGACCAGGATGGGGGAGGGGCAGCACTCTGCTGATTTGTGTCCCTGGACACTGGGTGGACAGGGAGAGTAGCCCGCAGGGCCCCCAGCTCGGCACCCCACGCTGATCCCTGCCTAACAGCCTGGGAGCCAAGTTGTGGGCACAGGGGATAAACAGCGTTAATTCCGGACGAGCATTTCTCCTTATGGGGATTGTTTACATCAGATATAAATACACCATTTCACGTCACTTTGGCTCTCTAAAAATCCGGGAAGGGAGAACACATCAGGGGACTCACAGACCTCCCTGCCTGGCCTGAGTGACCAAGGACAGGCATGAATGGATATGCCAGGCTCTGGAGAAGCACAGGGAGTGGGGAAACTGACGCCAACCTATCAAGTTTGTGAATGATGGATCGTCAGACTGAGCAGTCAGAGGTGCAAGGGTGGCTCCCAGGCCTTGACCTTTGGCCCCAGAAGGCCCGTGGCCTGTCCTCTGAGCTGGAAAGGTGACAGCCCCTCTCTCCTGACACATTCCAAGCTCTTGCAGTCTGAGAACCCTCAAGGCCCCAAGAAACCCAGACTGAGTGGGTGCATTTCAGAGCTGGGAACATGAGGAGGACTTAGCTCTCATACCTCAGAAACTTCCTCCTAGAAGAGGCTATTCCGGAGAAATTGAACCCCTTCCAACTCTCAGCAGAGCAGTCATCTAACGTCAGCTATTCACTCACTGATGTGAATAACAGTGATAACCAGGTAGGGAGTAAGAATAGGGAAGCTTTGAATGGGACGGAAAAGAAAAGGGCGGCAGAGGGCCGATGGGTTCCAGAGTGTTGGGATAAGGGGGGATGTGCCATGAAAGAAAGGGAGCCACAGACCCACACGTGAAGTGAAATGGGCTTGTGTGCTTCCCTTCCCAGCATCCAGAGAGGCAGACCTCACCCACCTTTGCCCAGGCTGTTCCCCCACCTGAGCATTTCTTCCTACTACCCTCTGGCTCCCCACAGCCATGCCCAGTGAGGGGGTCCTCACAGTACAGTAGGGGAATCAAGCTTGGGGCCTCATGGCTCAGGTCACATGACTTGGGTGAGCACCAAGGAGCCCATGGGCAGAGTCTGGGACTATGAGTGACCCCTGAGATGGAGCATGAAAATAAATGGAGCCCAGAGTCCCTGCTCCTGAATGACTGAGTGCTGAGGATGGGGTCCAGGGGAAGTATCAGCCATCCAGAGGCCTCTGGCCTAGGTGACCATGCAGAAGCCCACCACTTGACCCCTACCTTCTCTCTCCTCTGCTTGGGCCAGTGACTGCTAGGGGTGACTCAAAGTCACTCTGTCAGAGCTCAGGGACTCCCCGGCCAGCAGCATTTTTCTGCACAGACAGCCTGGCGCAGCTGCCTCCTGACCTGAGAGCCAGGATCCCCCTCCTGTCCTGTGGAGTTCTGGGTTTGTGTGAGATGCCCTGAAGCTGGTAGGTGGGGACTGCATCCAGCCAGGGTCGGGGGTGATGATGATGATAACCATGCCCATTGCTTCTCAGGCAACTGGGCCAGGAAGTCATCTCAGGTGGAATCCTGGCTCCTCTATGCCCTGGCTGGCAACTCAGCTGGGAGGCTATGGGCTCACATCCTGCCCACCAGGTAACCTCACAAAGTCCTTGAGCCAAAGGGCTCTGTCAGGGTCAGTGGGGACAATGCTGCCTTGGATGGCCAGGTACTCTGTCTGTTACCTTGGCAAAGCCTCTCTCCTCTGAACTTCAGTATCCTTGTCAGTAAAATGGGTGTAAAAGCCTGCCTGCCTCCCACCCTACCCTTCTCTGGGACCCTGAATTTGGAGATAGGAACTTAGCTGGGAGCCAAGCCTGGTCTTTGTTCCCCTTCCCACACCTCCTGCTCCCAGCTACACAGGCCACCAGCTAGATGAGCATGGAAGGCTTTTCTCAGGAGACCCAGGCACAGTCTGGGGTCTGATTCCATCTCACCTGCTTCAGTGGCTGTGGCCAAGTTCGAGGGCAGAGATGCCCAGAATGCCTCTTGTCCACCCTACTCCCTTCCAGTCTGGAGAGGCCCCTGAGGTTCTGATCCTCCATGGAAGACACTCAGGGAAATCCTGGAGTCCAGCCCAGAAGAGGCAGTCAAAGATCCACGCCAGAAAAATGTCTTCCCACTGAAGGTACTGGGAGACATGTTGACCCAAGTCAGATCAGCTGGGCCCGTCGTCTGTATCCCTGGAGAGAACAGCAAAGGGGACATGGTGGCCTTTAGCTGGCAGGTCAAGTTTGGGCGGCTGTGTATCTTTGTTTCCATTTTTCTCATCCATACAGTGGGGTGTGGACTCTGCTGTCCTCCCAGGGGCAGCAGGCAGGGTGTTCTGAAGCCTCTCCTGGGGTGGGGACTTTGGGAAGCTCTGGGAGTGTCCGTGAAGGAGAAGCTGGGGCATCAGAGGCAGTAGGGCTAGGTTTGGATTCTGATTCTGGATTCTGATTCTGACTCTGCCATTGGCCAGCACCGGCACCTGTGCATGTCACTGACCCTTCCCCAGCATCAAGCAATAGATGGGAATCTTCGCTCCTTTGAGGGGTGGCTGTGAATCCAGTGTCAGTCCAGAAAGCCAAGGCTGGCTCATGGCCCAGCCCCTGTGAGCATCTTCCTGGGTAGCTGAGCAATACCTGGGGCTGGGGGGCACCTGGCAGAGTTGAGTCCCTCCCCTCCTTGCATGCAACACTGTGTCTCTGACAGTTCTTTCTGTTTTTTGTTTTCTACCTGTGCGTATATAGAGACAGTTCTCTGCAGGTTCTGTTTTCAGCTCTCCTGGGCACTGCAGTACCTAAATCATCTTTGTTCCTTTTGCTTAGCTCTTCTTTCTGGGCACAAGATGGCCCAAGTAAGGACCAGCTCTCGGCTACCCTTCTCATTTCAGTGGATACAGTGCTCCTCCATGGAAGGCAGGTAATTGGCATTGAGGCCATCATACCCCATCTTGTGCCTTGGCAGATATCACTAATCGACCATAGCCCTGTGGTCTTAGAATCTCAGCACAGTGGACTCAAGAGCTATCACTAGTCAATCAATCAGGATGAAACCAATTAGTTGCCCCTGCTCAGAAGCCAGTGTCTGGCTGGCCAACTGCTCGCAGCCCTGACCTTTGGCCCCTTGTGGGTGCTGTTGTTTAAGGCTCAGGCCCATTAGCCAGGGCCTGGGAGAGGGCCCTCGGCCCAGCACTGAGGACGTGGTGGGGGCCTGAGCCCTTGGAGCTCTTGTGCATGACAACCACGTTGCCACTGGCCTCACACTCTGCTCCGTGCCTGTGAAAGAGGCCTCGCACGGTGGCCTGGAAGCCACTGGTAACGAAACAGTAGACGATGGGGTCCATGCAGCTGTTGAGGCTGCTGAGGGTCACAGCTACATGGTAGATCACGAGGCTTGTATGGTGAGGCAGGCTGGGCCACAGTGCCACGACCACCTGGCGTGCATGGAAAGGCGTGAAGCATACGAGGAAGATCACGAGCACCGTGAGCAGCAGCTGCATGGCCCGCACACGGCGCTGGCGGCCCTGGCGCAGCAGGCCGGGCCGTGACAGCGCACACACAATGCGGCCCGTGAACACACTGATGACCAGCAGTGGCAGCAGGAACTCTAGGACGGTCAGTGCAAAGATATGGCAGCAAGGCTGCCCACCAGTCGTCACTCCCAGCACAGACAGGGTTACAGCGCCAGCCGCCAGCCACACAAAAGTGCACACGGCCCTGGCACAGGCTGGCTGGCGCCAACGGCGGGAACCATCTGGCTGCACGATGGCCAGGTAGCGGTCCACACATATACAGGTGAGGAAGAGGATGGAGCAGTGCATGTTGAGGAAGTAGCCAAGGACGTGGGGGAAGGCGCAGCGGAGGCAGCCACGTGCACTGTAGAAGACCACGAAGCGTGTGGGCAGGGACAGACCCACCAGCAGGTCGGTAACCACCAGGTTGATGGTATAGATGACCGACGGCGTCTTGGCTTGGGTGCGGCAGCAGAATACATACAGAGCCAGCCCGTTGAGCACCAGTCCCACCAGAAAGATGACACTGTGCACGACCATCAGTGCCAGCCAGAGGCCTGGGAAGGTGCTGTGCAGTTCCTCATCCAGCTGGGCGAACAGGTGAAACAAGGCCTTCTCTGTCATGCTGGTGTTGGTCCATGCTGCCACCACTGTGGCGTTGGGGACAGCCACAGCCCAGGGATCTGCTGACAGCTCAGAGGGCATAGTGCTGGCTGTGCACCCACGCCTAGAAACAAGGAAGAGACAAGGCTATCCATGGAGCTAGTGCAGCATCTGGCCCAGCTTGGGGCCAGGGTCTCGTCAGGTTCATCTGCTTGCTGTGTTCCCCAGCAACCCCATCCTGAAGCCTTTGCCTCACCCAGCCTGTACCTACTCTCTCCATGCCCTCATCCCTGGCACTTACAGGGTGCAGCTTTGGCAAATGCTAAAGCTTCTGAGACTGTTCTTGCTGGATGGGTGAACGCACTTGTTTCTGAAGGCTGAAGACATATGCAAGATAACAGGGCTCAAGCATGGGGGCTCAGGGCCTGCCTCCATTCCTGGCTCTTCCACTTAATCGCTGTGCATTTTTAGGCAAGTCACTTAACTGCTTTGCACCTTGTTTCCTAATCTTTTTTGGAGGGGTGAGACAGAGTCTTGCTATGCAGTTCAGGCTGGCCTTGAACGCACTATGTATCCCGGGCTGGCCTCGAACTCATGACAGTCCTCCTACCTCAGCCTCCTGAGTTGTGGTGTTACAGGTGTGCACCACCACACCTGTCTCGTGTTTCCTAATCTAGATCATTGGGATCCCCTTGCTGCTGGGAGGATTAACTAAGCAGGCGTGGATCAGGGGCAAGGAGGCCCCTGGCATGTATATGGGTGCTGGCTTATAAGCCAGTTTTGCTGGGAAGAGCTGTTCACAGAGATCCCCAAGCTGTCTGCCCCATCTCTGCCCTACCCCTACCATCATGCCCTGTCATCCAGCCACCTCTCTGCTCTCACATGCTCTCAGTCCACCTCTCACATGCTCCTTGGACCTTCTTAGGGGGCTGGTATGCTCAGCAGGGCTGGATAGGGGCTGAAATCCAGTCCCCAGTTCCCAGGTCCCTGCTAGCTACAGCGGACTATCTCCCCAGCCCTGGGTGGCTTGTTGGGGCCGGATCCTGGAGTCAGGTCGAAGCAGCAGGCAGCTAGTGTGAGTCAAATAAACAGTGTGCTCTTAGCGGGGGCGGTGGGGACCAGGGTAGGCAGGGGCTGGGCTGGAGCTGCCCACTCTGTTTATGTTTCTGCCGAGGAGTGTTTAACTCAGCTCTGATTTATCCCTTTATTTATAAATGAAGGGTTAATGGGGACCCTACCCCCACCACAAGCTGCCCTGACCCTCCAAATAAGGACATTTCTGGCCCTTTCAGGAGAAAGGAAAAAATTCTAAAGGGAGGCAGGGAGAAGGAGTTGGCATGTGGGACATTCTGGGTACCCAGGGCCCCTACCCTCCTGCAGGAGAAAAGAAGACCCTCCCCATTGTCTCACTTCCTGTGTCACTCCTGGTGGCTGTTGCCATAAATAAATAGGCTGGACACTGCCAGGCTGCAGGGCCCTGGGCAGCAGGTCTGCCATTCTATCCTGGGGGAACAAGATGCTGTGTCTTGTCTCCCTGGGGACTGGGAATTGGTGGCTAGCCTAGCAGCAGGTAGGTGCAGTAAAAGAATGCTTGCTTTGGGAGGGTCTGGTCTGGCGGGACACATGACCACCTTTACCCTCAGCCTTGGAGAGGTCAGAACCTATCTGAGGTCACCCAGCATACTCGCTGCCTCTTTAACCCATCCCCTGGACATCTGCCATCCTGGGGTACTGGGAGGTATCTGGGCTGCCCAGCCCTGCATCCTGCTTTGCTGCTGTCCCCACATCTGTGGTGGGCGCTGAAGGACTGGGAGTTTGGGGCAGGGAGAGATGTTCTGCAGGTGTGGGTATGGCGAGCATGGAGCCTGGGAACTTGGCTCCTCAGGGCTGTGGGCTTGACCTCCCGCAGCAGGGAGGCTTGAGGGCCCCAGGAAGGAGAGGGCGCCGTGCAGCGTGTCTGCCTCTAGCACTGACGGAATGCTGGAAGGAAAGACCCAACAACCAAGGGACACCATGGCAAAAGGGCTTTTGTGATACCCTTGTACATGCTTTTTGGCTTTCCAATTTGTCTGCACTGGGCCTGAATTAGTGTCACAATCAGAGACAAATAAACATCACTGATATTTCCTCTGGGAGCCTGTCCCAGGATGACGCGGGCCAACGGTCCCAGGAAACTGTCCAGGGCCAGTCTCGCGTGCCACCTAGCAGTGCCACTGAGAGGCCAGGGACACCAGCCAGGGCCAAGGGGCCTCCAGGGCCTCCAGAGTCAGAGGATAGACCACATTCAGACACCCCAGAGACAGACAGGTGAGGAGGAGAGAGGGCAAAGCACACATGTTGATTCAGAGTAGGAACCCAAACCTCACACATAGCTAAGCCCCGATCTTGGTGACATGGAGCCATAATCCCAGTAACTTGATCCCTGTCACACTCTGAACCCTGACCTAGTAATGCACTGAGCCATGACCCTAGTCACACGAGAATCCTGGTCCTGGTTGCTCATGGCTCAGGTTATGGACTCTGTGCCAGGCTGGGTTCATGAGCTTCACCAGCTTCACCAGCTCAGGCCTTCTCTGCCTGTCTCCTCTTGGACACCTTCTTGCAGTGGGCATGGAGACACAATGAGGGCTCAGTCAGAGGGGGTGCTCAGAGGTGGGGAATGAGAGCACAACCATCAGGGGTCTAGCTCCCAGTCTCCATTATAGCTCAGTGGCAGAGCACTTGCCTAGCATGTGCAAAGACCCTGTCTGATCCTCAGTTTCCTCATCTGTAAAGTGGACAAAGCAGACTGTGCCAAGGGATTTACTGGTGCATGGTCAAGCACATAGTAGGTGCTCAGAAATGGGATACCAGGCAATGAGGAGATGGCTGCAGGCTGAGAGGACAGAGGTTGAGGGATGAGTTCTGTGCCACTTCAGGGAGAGGCCTGGATGGGCTTGGTGGGATGGCAGCTTCCAGCCAGAGGTGGCCTTGCCAGCATCCTTCCTCGGCCCCTGAAGCCATGGATGCTGGCCTCGGCCTGATTCTCCCAGGGCCTGAGTCCCTCTTCCCGGCTGAGAGCATCACATCCTACTGCCCCACAGGGCTCTGCCCCTCCCACCCTGCCCCCCACCTGGGAAACTAGAGCCCCACAAACTGCAGGCCTTTCAAGCTTCTGGGTCCCTTTAGGAGGCTGTGAGGATGAAGGGTGGTGCCCCCTGTACCCCAGGGTCCTACAGCAGTCTTCAGGGCAAGCACGGGGTAGGGCTCCTGGGGGCCATCTGGAGCACTATATGTCCCCACTTCCGTGCCTCTGCCCAGGCTACCCCTTCCCCTGATTTTCCTGGTGTGGCTCCTGCCCTTTTTACTACCACCTCTACTCACCCCCAGGCCTTCTCCTTCCTGCCTGCATCTCTGGGTGCCTCTCCCTGCTGCCCTTCCCAGAGCACCCTTCGCTTCCCCCACCTCGGCGCTGCCCCCCTCCTAGGTACTGCCCCCTCTGCAGAAGGTAGGTGTCTGTGATGGTGCACACCTGCAACCCCCAGCACCCAGAAGGCTGAGGTTGGAGAATCATTTCATCTGAGGACAACCTGGGCTATATAGTTAACTCGAGGCCAACCTGAACTGCATAGTGAGATGTTGTCTCAAAAAACCCCATTTTTTAACAGTGTGGGCAGCCTGGGCTGTGGGACGGGGTGGGTAGAGCCCCTACCTGTTCTTCCCTTTCTTCTCCCTACTCATTTGCCCCTGCACCCCAGGAGGAACCAGCACCTGAGTGGAACCCACCGAAGCTGCCAAGGTGAGGCCTGGTTTCTCACCCTGGCAACAGTGTGAGTAACTTAGCCCCAGTCCCCTTCTTGGCCCCTTCTTGGACCTAGTCTCTCACCAAGGGAGAGGCAGTGGCCTGGAGCTGGCTTCTGCCCTCCAGCTGCACCCTTACTACCCACCACGATTGTGTTTGCCTCCAGCCCAGCCCCTTGGTGGCAGTGGTTGTTGGTTTAAGCAGCTCTTCCATACACCTGCCCCCTGGGTAAGTCATTCCACCTGGCAGAAGCTCAGTTTTGGCCCTGGTGACTCTGGTGTGCATTTGTTGAGTGACTGAATGAAACCCAGCAGAGTGCATGAGTCAGTGAGAAAGGCCAAAAGACTCCCCAGGAGATGACTATTACAGTGAGGCTCTAGGGGCTGCAGGTGCAGTTCATACCTGCTCTAACCTGCTCACAGTGGCAGAGGATGGGCAGTTCCCCCAGCTCAGTGCAGGACTTCTCAGAGCCTTTGTGAGATCCGTGAACCTGGGGTTCTTCTCCCTTCTCCCTGAGCCTCTTTCCTGGGCCCTGCCCTGTCCAGCCAGATGGCCACATGATAGCCCCAGGCATGGATGCAGCTATCCCACTGCCCTTCTCAGTGCACTGATCTTTGCTGTGTGCCAGCAGACATAGGTTCCTGCCCTAGGTCCCTGCTCTGGACCTAGAGCCCATGCAAGCCTATCTCCTTGGCACGAGAGGAGGGCATTGGCTCCTCTTAAATCCGTAGTGTCCCTGTGAGGTCTCCCAGCTGCCCAGCAGCCCAGCAGGTGCCTCTTCCCAGAGCCTGGACACCTCTGCCCTACTGCACATGGAACCAGGTAGCAAAGGGTCAGACCTTGCATGCTGCCTGCAGCTTGGGTGCCCAGGGTGGAGGGTGCGCATGGAGAACTTCCCAGCCTTTCCCTGTCCAGGGCTTCAAGTTCCTGCCAAGGGCCCTGCTCTGAGGGTCACTTTGCATCCACATGACAGTTAGGAAGCCAGAAGCTCAGAGATCTGAGAAATGTGCCCAAGGTCCCGTAGCACAGAACTGGTAGACCTGGGACTCAAACCCAGGTTGGACAGGATCAGGCGCACACAGGCTGGGGTAGAAGGAAACCAGGAGATGGCAGGATCATGGCCTCTCTGGACCAGGAGTTTGCACGCAGGGATTCCCAGGGCACTGGGACGGCTGGAGTCTACGACCTGGTGAATGACCCTCATGGCCTTCCAAAGCCAAAATGGCCACTTCTGAGGTCACCAACAGCCTGTTAATTTTTACAATTATTCTTGGTGTCATGACATCTGCTTTAGAAACACTGCCTGCTATTTTGGGTTGAT